TGGGTTGTGTTGAGCCGTGTTGGGTTGGGTTGACTGTGTTGTTTGGGCTGTGTTGGGTTGTGTTGGGTTGGCTGTGTTGCTTTGGGTTATGTTGTGTTGGGTTGGGTTCTTTAGGGTTATGTTGAACTGTGTTGGGTTGGGTTGACTGTGTTGCTTGAGTTGTGTTGGGTTGTGTTGGTTTGGGTTATGCTGCCTTGGGTTGGGTTCTGTTGGGTTGCATTGAGCCATGTCAGGTTGGGTTGACTGTGTTGTTTGGGCTGTGTTGGGTTGTGTTGGGTTGGCTTTGTTGGTTTGGGTTATGTTACACTGGGTTGGGTTCTGTTGGGTTGTGCTGAGCTGTGTTGAGTTGGATTGACTGTGTTGGGTTGGCTGTGTTGGTTTGGGTTATGTTGTGTTGGGTTGGGTTCTGTTGGCTTGGGTGTTCTGGTGGCTGGATAGTGGTAGGGGGCTACTGCTTTAGCCACGGTGGTCAGGAAGACTTCACAAAGGAGGTATATTGATTTGGGAGCTGAAAGATGGAGGAGGCAGCTATCCTGGGCAGAAAGAAGAGCCAGGTTGTTCTCTGTTTCTACCCATTGGACTGCTGTGGATGTCTTTAGGTCTATCCTGTTTCCTTCCTAAGAGGCCTTTGAGGGCAAAGATCAGTCATCTTCTCCTTTGCGAAAGGGCCTGGACACTCACAGCACACAGAGCCCAGGAATATAGCTAACAGGCAACCCTCCTTCTTCTGCCCCTGCTCCCGCCAGAGCAGGAGGCCTGATAGTCAGGTGGGTAAAAGCACATGGCCCTGTTTGGAGCAAGGGTGTGAGGGGCAGGCTGTCCTTGGACTGAAGTAAAGAAAGCCCTGGTGCGGTTGAGGGACAGTCAGGCAGTCCCAGCTTTGGCCACCAGACAGAGGGCAGGCCCTGCTATCCCAGCCTCTCCCCAGGTGCCCTCACTGACCTGCACGCGGGCCTCGGTGAGGTCTGTCCTCATGGCCAGCTGCTCCCGGGCATACACGTCGGGGTAGTGGGTCTTCTGGAAGACCTTCTCCAGCTCCTCCAACTGGTAGCTGGTGAAGGTGGTTCTGTTCCTCCGCTTCTTGCCCTTGTTGCTCTCGGAGTCGGCCTTCTCCAGCGGGCTGGGCAGCTCGGCGCTGGCCCGGTCCTGGGGTGCCTTCACTCCAGCCTCCTTCACACTGAGGTAGCTGCTGTCCATCCCCACGGTGTCAGAGTCCGGCGGCAACTCTGGCTCACCCAGGGAGCTCTCTTTGGCTGAAGGGGGAGGAAACAAGGTCAGAGAACAATGACTGAACCGAGCAAGAGAGGAGGGAGGGACAGGGAGAGCCCTCCCCTGCCATTCCCCTGTCAGCATCACACTGGATGCAAGGGCAGGAGGCCCTGGTTCTAGTCCTGACTTGCCATTAACATGCTGTGTGACCTTGGGCAAGTCCATTTCCCTCTCTGAGCCTCGTTGCCATCATCTCAGAATGGACCTCTTTTACCACCAACGTAATATGACTCTGGGTCAATCTGATCTCTTGGACCTTTAATCCCCGCCCCCACTGATCCTGGGCTCCTCCTTCTAGAAGGATCCCCTTTGTCAGAACTTCTGCTTTGGGCATTGGGAATGCTGACCCAGTGCCTCAGACACCCAGGGGAAGGGAAAGCTAATTCAGCAGCCATGTCTGGCCCAACAGGGCAGGGGCAAGGAGGAGGCCAGCGTCGAGGCAGATAGGAACGCCCTTCCTATCCAGGCCTGATCCTGTGTGGGCTCAGCAGGAGCTGAGGAGATCCCCCCACCCCGCCCCGAAGAATCCAGCGTGAGGGGTCACGCCCCTCGCCCTCCACAGGTTTCACCTACTGTCCACGCAGGGTCCGGCCTGCTCCAGGCAAGTGGCACATTTACTAAAGAAGCAGGGCGGGCGCCTGCGTCCCCAGGATGCTGACGTGTGTGCCCCACTAGATTCACACTAAGCTCGAGGCCTGGGCCCACAGCCACCGCCATCTGCCAGGATGGGGCTCCACTGGTTGATTCCTAGATGCCCAGAGCTGGAAAGGACCAGTGGATCTATGTAAGTCAGGGATGAGGAGGTGGAGGCCAGCAGGGGGAGAGTGAGGCAGGGAGTGACCTGTCCACACCCAAATGGCCCCGTCAGCACCCTGGGCAGACACACTTGCCGAAGAGTCAAGGTTAGAACGTGGACTCTGGAGCTAGTGGAGGAGGGTAGGACTCCCACATGTACCTCGCTCTGGCTGTGTACTTGGGACAGCTCACTTCACCTCTTTGTGCCTCAGTTTCCCCCCTCTATAAAATGGGGATGAAGATACTTGTGGGCTCTTCCTTCTGGCATACTGTGGGATTAAGGAGGCCAACAGGCAAAGCCCTTAGCATGGTGCCGGCTCCGTAGGTTTCTGCCCGTATTGGAATCCCCAGTTCCAGTGTGGACTTCTGAGCGGCAGAGGACGCGGACCCCGGAGAAGTCTTCCCCGCAGGCGGGCCCTCCCCAGAGCATCTGGGTGCGGGAGCAGGTGCAGGCCCTGGCCTGGTGTCCGGAGACCGGTGTGAGCCCTTCTCTGCGCCGCCCTCCCCGGCCCGTGCGGTAATGTACCGACGATTATTAATAAGGCTTCCGGGGAGCACTGGAGAAGGCCTGCACACGTACAAGCTCTGACTGTCGCAAGCACGCGTGGCTGGTGTGAGCACCTCTTCTGGGAACAGGTCCACGCGGCGGGCATCAAGTGTCAGGACGATGCTGCTGGCTCAGGTCTCCCTGCTCCGTCCGCATCCCGGCGGCTGAGGCCTCGGGCTGGCTCTCCTCCCGAGCTTTGCGTGTGCCCTGGGAAGGCACGAGGGGCAGCTGCCTGCCATCCCCACCTCTCTCTCCAAGGCCCCGACGAAGGGGGTGGAGGTGAGTGCCCGGGGCGGGTGGACGTGCACACGGCATCGGGAGGGGCCACGTGCAGGACACCCACGTGAGCCTGGGCACACGCAGGCCGCCGCGGTTTCGGTGACAACGTTATGCAAACTGCAGATGGCAGCCGGGCCAAGAGCTTTCAGCGAAGATATTTATCTTGCTGGCAGGCAAACAAGTTTTATGTTTTGGGTTTTTTTTAAGAGAAGAAATCCCACCCAGCCTCACCAAAAATAAACATCTCTGTTATGCAATTTCCTGGAGGCCAGACTGGGGGGCAGCCCCTGCCCCTCCTGCCCCCGCACTGATCTCCGGGCCCCATCCCATGACCCCATGGACCCTTGGAGTGTCCTCTGGCATCCGGCCTGGGATTGGGACCACCCCGCATAGCAATAGGGGCTGGGCCGCATGGGGAGCTCCGTGTTGCAGAGACCAAGGGTTGTAGGGACGAGCTCAAGCTCCGAGTTTTAACTGGGGGGAACTCACACCAGAGAGAGCAGGGAATGTGTGCTAGTTAGTGACAAAGCACGTCCTCTAGCCCCCGGCTCTGTCCTCTATTCCTACCCTGTGGGCTTGGGGCCTCTTCCCAGGGAGAGAAGGGTAGGGGCAGAAGGCAAGGAGCGCACAAAATCAAGGAGTCCTGCTTTGCTCCTGGGGGCAGGAGAACCAGCCTCTGAGGATGAGGAGGGAAGCCCCTCAGTGCTGACCTAGTTCTAGGCTTAGCTGGTGGGGAGGCAGCAGAACATCCAGTCTTCTATGGCAAGGAGTAAGAATCCAGTTTCTCAAACCTCCAGCCACCCACTGAGACCAAGCGAGTGGGGGAGAAATGGGGAGTCAGCACGGGGTGGACAAAGACCGCCGGACCAAGAGTTGGCAGATCCGCTGTTGGTCCCAGCTCTACCATGATCTGCCCATGACGGCAGATGACTCTTCTTACATCCCAGAGTCTCCTCTGCAGCTGGAGGTTTGATGGTGCCCCTTCTGGAGTCGGGGGAGCAGGCAGGGATGTGTCACCGCCTCGGCCCTGTGGAGTGTCCCTCCTGCCTCAGTCACCACCGGGGCCTTCCCTTAGGGTCTGGAGCGGCGAGAAGAGGGGAGCAGGATGGGGACTGGTCTGTGTCCAGGCAAACGTCGGCCAACTGGGAAACCTTAGAGATGGAAGGAATTCTGGCAAACTGATGCTTCTGGCTCCTCAAAGAAGAGGGAAGAGAGCCTTCCCATCTCAGTCTTTACTACTGATCATTTTGCTTTAAATCGGGAGGCTGGGTCTCTAATTTAGATTCCCCAAGGTCATGGATGACTGGTCAGAATGACAAGCCAAGACTCTCACAGGTGCTCAGTCCAAGGATCCCAGACTTGGGGTGGGAGGGGAGTCTATTTCAAACTCCTTCCACCCTGCAGCTTCTCCAGCAAGGGGGCCACGCGGCCTGTGGGGACAGAGAGCTCCCTGAGCTCCAGCCCATGTCTGTGTCTTGGAGGTACGGCTCACTGGTCCTCGTTCCAAGTCTCCAGGGCCCTTCCCCGAGACGGCTGCCGCACCTCCCAGAGTCTTCTGTCCTCCTGTCTTAACAGCTGGGGTTCCCATTGCTGTTCCTCAGGTGGCCCCAAGTTTAATAAGACTGACACAGGGGGCTGCCAGGGACGGGCTGCGTGATGGTGCTGGCCCCTGGGCAAAGCCAGCAGTTTGCTCTCCAACCAAAAAATCCTGAGGAGCTGGGTGGAGAATCAGGTGGGTGGCCCGAGGCCTGGGTGCTTGGTCAGGATCCAGCTCGCCCTGCAGTGCCCTCCTCGACAAGACAGCTGCTGGAAACACAGGAGCCCACAACTCATGCTGAAATACTCTTGAGCAAACCCATTACCACTGACCCCCTTGGTCTCCCTCATCTGCACCTCCAGCCACCTGCCTGGAATGCCTTCCTTTCCAGCTGACCTGCAAGATCCCGTCAAACACCAGCCCCGCCAGGAAGTCCTCCCAGACTGCGACAACCATATAGACCCCTCTGTCCCCTGCTCAGCCTCTCCAATTACTGCCTGTGTTTCTGACTAGTATATAATCAAGCCCTGAGTGTCCCTTTCCTCCTATAGCAGCACATCAGTTCCCCGAGGGTTGGAACCTCATGTCACAGACCCTGGGCTTAGCCCAGGACGGGGCAGACGGCAGATGTGCAGTGAAAAGTCGCTGAAGAATAAGCGAACAATTTCTAACAACCAAATACTGCTGAGCTCTCACTCTGGGCAGCTACCTTCGTGTGCCCACCGTGTTTCGGCTACGTGCTCTGGAGCTGCCTGCAGAAAGTGACTGCTGAGCCCCCGAGTGAACAGTTCATCCCGCTGGACAAGGAGGAGACAGGTGGCTAGGATACGTGAGGAAGAGGCTCACATTCACGAGTGAACTGTTGGCAGCAGAAGTAGCAGGGGGAGATGAGATGGCCGGAGACAGGACCAACACAGACAGTGAAGGATGTCTCCATGTGGGGCAGGAGGGAACAGGGAGCATCAGGGAAGCAGACGGAGAAGCAAAGGGATGGGATTCCTGGAAGGGGCTCTAGAATGTAAACGTCCAGGGAAGCCAGCCCAGGACCTGCCGGGAGCCAGCTCCACGCCCACCATGAGGCTGCAGTGGGGTAAAGGCCCCTGGGAGACCCTCCGCTCGCCCTGCTTCTGGGCCAGGCTTCTTCAGGGATGACAGCCCTGTGCCGCCCGAGGCTGAGCAGCAACAGAGCCCCCCTGGGCCAGGCCACCTGCTTGCATCTCTGGCTTCCCCCCTGCCCCTCCTTCCCTATGCACCCTGGACTGACGCCACGCCGATGCCCCTTCCACAGCGCGGAGGGGCCCCTGAGAGGGCTCTGTCCCGGTCTCTGGGGCCCAAGGCAATGTCATCCTGATCTGCAGCTTCCCAACAGAATGTCCTGAGGTGGATAGAAATCCCAGATGACCCAGAGGAATGAAGCAACGCGCGTACAGAAAACACCCAGAGCGCTCAACGGCTGCCCCTCCGAAGGTCCGCGCACAATGGCAGCCATGATGGAGCAGCACGCCCTTCGAACCACCCCAGGTAAGTATTTCCATCAGCCACTTCTGGTGAAGTAGAAGCATTTGGTTCGAGCATATATTCCGAATCAGGAGCCACAGAAGGGCCTCCAGCCTCTGCCTGAACTCCGAGAAATACAAGCGATGGAAAACCTTTCTTCCTTCCCTTCCCCTCTGCTTGTTGTCCTGGTTCAACCCAATGACGTCACTCTAACCTAGTCTAACCTTTTTTTTTTCTTTTTTGATACAAAAGCCCTTGAGAGATTTCCGAAGGTGACCGTGTGTTTTTTTTTTTTATGACTGTGATTTCAAGCGTGTGCACTTCTGAAG